TTGTTTTACGCGAAATTAAACAAAATTTATTTAATTAGCACTCTTGTTTTAATAATTAATTAATTTACGCGAATTTTATAATTTACTACACTCACTTATATTTTAAAAAGTCTGAATTGTGAAAATTCATCAAAATTTATAATTTCGCCGCGAGCTTGAATTCTAATCAAAATCTCTGTCGAAGCATTTGTTTTTACTTTGGTGTCTCGTAGATACTACTGATTACAGTTGACATCCATACTTAAATAATATACATATTTGGAACAAGAAATAGTTGAAAATAATGTGTTAAACAAGTTAATTAATTTATAAAATTACAGATATCATAAGAATTTTTGAAGAAAATCGTATAGATTATTTTTTATTGAGAGCAAAAATGTTATTTTTGAAATAAATATTTCAATATTTTATCTAACTAGCTTAATCCAATTCTTATTGATTATATTATTATGTGCATATATGTATCGGGAAGTTCATGCATTTTGCCTTAAACCAGGGGCTTCCAACTTTTTCGCATTGCTCTGATCCGTTCTTATAAAAAAATATTGTTACGCCACCTTATATTTTTTAACAATTAACAGCTGTACGCCCCTCTTGCAACAGCCTAGCATTTTGTTTTTTTTTTACAGAGCTATCGGCAACTCAAGTTCTTATCCGTAAATTAATCACATTGACTGATCTTACTGTTTGTTTGGATCGACGAAATGCAGCAGGAAAAATAGATGTGTACTTAGAACCTATGTTGTACCGATGTTCTTTAGAATTGCGCTTTATGAGAAGATATCACAATGCAACAGTCAAACAAGCTTCTACTACTCGTATAGATATTCATTGCAATAGCATGGAATTTAGTATGACATCACAACAGTTTCCTATGCTCATGCGACTTTTAGTTTTAGCACAAACTCTCCAAAGTCATGAATTAAAAAAACAAAATATGGCAAACAATGGTGAAAGTGAAAGTAGTACCCAAAGCGAGGAAACAGTTGAAGAAAGTCAACAAGTTGGATGGGCAGGTTGGGCTTGGAGTTTAGTTCCATCTATTTTACCAACATGGGATGAAGATTGGTCTGATGAGCAACAAGTTATGAATTTAGGGCATACAACACATATAGGAGTGTTTGTTGACAATGCCTTATTTTCATTTAAAGTTTCTGAATCAAGTAGTGAAAAAACTTATTATGCTCCTAAAAAATTAAAGTATTGGCCTATTCTGTCCTTGAGACTTCAGGGATGCATGCTACAAACTGTGTCACACAATGTGAATTGGACAAACACTCAAGTAGGAATATCAAAGTTATCTTTGTTGCCATCAGGAGACTGTGTTTGCGGGGCTGATGAGGTGTTAGATAACATGCAACCTCAAGAGTACTTCAAAAGCTTGTTGAGTCCAACAATGTGCCATTTTAGTGACTCATTGCTAGATTCTGAAAGCTTTGAGAATCGTGGGCAGAGAAGGATGTATAATCTTTCATGGGATGAACATATGGATTTGGTAAATGAAGAATACTTACTATCCAGAAGTCCTGCTCTGGCAGTTGATATTTTATATAATTTAGAAATTCCTGAGGATTTTCCACAAGAAAAAGTACATGAAATTGCATGTGATTTAGAGTATAGTAACTTTAAAGAAAGGACTTCAATAAGAGCTTTTGTTGGTCCTTTTAATTTGAGATATACATCAGGTTTAGTACACAGATTGAATGTTTTACAACAAGCTTCTGAACTATATGATTATCAACCATATATTGAAACAAAACCTTCACCATCATATTCTGAACTTCCACCACCATCTAGTGAAGATTATGATGCTTTAACAGAATACTTACCTATGCAGAAAATTGAATTCACATGTATTAGACCATCAATAGAGTTTATTTTATGGGATCACATGCCTAGTAATCATCAAAATCCTAAAAAGAGACATCAATCATTTTCTTCTGTAAATGAGAAATATAGTACTGCCAAAGAACTTCCTAAGCTTAAATTAGACATTGAAAACATTTATGCAAAACTGGAGAAACCTATGTATCCTAATAGATTGGTATATACTACATGCAAACTTCCTAACCCACCAAAGAATTTATTGGATTCATGTTATGTGAAAACTTTAGCGACATGTCATGGGCTCAAGTTAAGTTTAGTAATCAAAGATAAGGCAAGCATATTACTGAATCCTGCGCATATAACATACACTGGTAATACTATTTTGTTAAGTAAATATTGGAGAGATAAAGATATTTCCTTGGAAGAATTATCTGTAAGTGTTGATTCCATTAATGTAACAAGTACAAAACCAAGATTTCTTTGGCTAGTCATATCTTAGATTCTGTTGTGCGGCAAAATAAAGATGGTTTTACAGCAATTTTTGGATCAACCTTATTATTAGATTCATGTTTGGACGCTAGGATGGAACACTTGGAGTTTAATTTAGAAAATATGTATGTTGTAAGAAATTTAACTGTGTGCACTCAATCTTATCATTTTACCCTGGAATCTTGTAAAGCTTTTATTATTGAGCCAATGCTAATAAAAAAAAATAAGGAAGCCACATACACATATGAAACAAGTGAATTATCCACTTACTTGTTAAAAACTATGAGTAAAAGTGTTAAAGTACGTATGACAGAAACATTTAACGTGAACCAAGCACAGCAAGTTATCATTTTATCTGGACCTGAAGTTGAAATGAAAGGTTCTCAGATGGTACACAACTCAAATATTTTGCTTTCTCTAACAATCCAACTCCCTTTAAAACAAGGCGTTCCTGATCATCCAGCATTAATATTATTTAATTTGGCTGAGTTACGAATAAGTTTGGACCCACTGCTTTGCAAATGGTTGCGCTATGAACCGAGGAAGTTCTTGCAACGAAGAGATAAAATTAGTTTTGATCATGGTAGCGTTCGAAGAAGGCGATGTTCAGAAGCCAGTGGTGGAAGTTTGGAAACACCAAGGAGAGTTGGCCCACAACCAACATCTGTTCATTCTTCAGAAAACCAGCAAAGAAATCCATCAATTCCCATTCGTACTATGTCTCCACCACCTGAGCATGTCCAGGAACCACATGAAACACAATGGTTCAAATCAGTATTAGATTGGCATGTGGTGTGGAAATCATTATTGATTATAGGTGATTTAAATCAAGTTACTATATATTGTCCAACTGCATCTATTCCTGCTTTAGGTGCTCAAAATTTACAAAGTGCTTACTTGAACAATGTTGATATAAATCCGGATTTAGAAATTTTTGTTTTGAAGTTACCATTTTGCAGTCTGAGAAGTGCTAATCAAAGGCAGAAGTTAGATCCATATATAATTTACTATCCTATTAAATTACCTGAAAATATTTGGACGGATGGCAAAAAAAGTTTTCCTTGGACTATTTCGATCTGGGATTTTTCAAGTTATACAGTGAGATATAATAAAACATATCAGTTTATAAAACCTGTTACATGCAATGCAACTATTGCTGTCACTACTAAATCTTACCGCAGAATGAGTGCAGATTCAATGAAAAATGATGTAAAAAATTCAAAGTCAGAAGGTTTAGAGCAATCAGATAGTAGAAGTGATTTCCGAGACAGTGATCATAATATTACGCCAGGAAAGGTTCCCAGTCTTGTCGACATGTTCAATAAATCTTCTAACACGAGTTTAGATATAAACAGTAGCAATAATTGCAATTGTACAGATCAGTTGTGTTCATTGGGCATTTGTGTATATCTTGATACAATGCCTATAGTTATTTGCATGTCTGAACCTCAAGTTGCATTAATTTCGAGCTTAGCAGTAGGTTTATCTGAGATATTTTCCACAATTTCACAGAATGGTCAAATTCAACCAACATTTCCTAGAAGTCAAAATCCAACAACGCCCACAGATATTTTGTTCAAAGAAAGTACGCGAGCGTCTACCATCAGTGGCAATACACAATCAGTCGAAGAGACTGATTTAGAAACGGGTCCTAAATTTACCGTTTTCATACAATGGACGTTGACAAAATTTAGTGTAAAATTGTATGGCAATGAAGGAGCAGCACAGCTTAAGCTTTCACTTGATGTGGAAGATATTGTTAATAGTTTAGATATGCAAAGTGTTTATATAAAATATAAAACCAAAATAGCTACAGCTAGTGTGAAACATTATAGAATGGATCCTTATTCTAAAAGATGGGTTAATGGCCCATATCTTGGCATTGTTATGAAAGTTAGAGAAAATGGAAATTCTTCATCAGAAGATAATAGTTTTGCAAGTATTATATATACAAGGGCTCGATGCGGTAATGTGCATAATCGATGGGGTGCAAAAAAGTATAAACACCGTGACAAATACAATAAACCATCTGTTTCTAAAGTTCGATACTTATCAGAGTTGATGGTTAACTTACAATCTGTCGATTTGGTGTTAAGCCCAAAAACTTTATCAAGCTTTCTATTGGTATTACACCCATTATCAAATACGTCAACAACCACTTCAGCTAGACCTTGTGTTCGAACTCCAGATCCTTTGCATAGTGACGCTGGAAATTTTCAATCATTAGCTGTGCTTAATTTACCACTAATTTATTTAGACATTCGCGGTTTACGGTTTATCATACCATCTTCTGATCAAAATTCTCGATTTTTATTTCAAGATGTTTTTATTTTACAAATAACACACATTAATTTAAACCCTGCACCGGACAATCCTATATGTAGATCACCGCTTCGTCCAGATTTATATCAACAAGCTGCACAAGCTGATTTGTTAAACGTTCCCGGTTCCGAAATTGAAGATAGGCAGTATCAACTAACTGCAAGTTCTTTTCATATTAGTGCATGCGTTTGGTCACAATTAAAACATTGCTTAGCAGTAGAGAATACAGATTTTAATCTTCGCACCATGAATGAAAATCCAGCTCTGGAATGGAATAACTTAGACAGTAAAAAATCTACATTGGCGTCAAACCTTGTCTTAATTCCGGTTGTTAATAAATTTGATTTGTGTATAGTAGCGGCTCCTGCGATGGTTCATGGATCAACAATCATTTGCGGACATGCAGTGGAAATTAATTGTGTTAGCGATTTAGAAGTGAGCATTAGTGTCGATCAGGTGAAACTAGCCCAATTATTAGCTGCCGAATGCAGTAGAATGATGAATCCGATTAATGATGCTAGTAGAAGTTCAATAGTTTTTCCTTATATGCAATCTGCAACGTCAAGTTCTATTCCTGATGATGACAATCTTCTAGTAAATGAAATTCAGTATGAAAGCAATATCGTCACAACATCTCCATTAGATTCTGGCGTAGACGTAGCAGATTTTAGCAGTGAGAATATTGCTTTAACTAAATTGAGCAATGAAACTATAGATGAATTTACCATGTTTGAAAAGAAAATCAATGAGAAGCCGATACGTCCTTTATATGATCATGAAACTTTTATACCTTTCGAACTTATATTTACTGGCGGCATAATTGGAATAGCCTTCTATCAAAATCACAAAGTAACAAAATCTAGGGTATCTTTTAGCGCTAGCACTTCTGAACATATTATGATAATGTATGACAAGGGTTACGAAGCATCTGCAGAAGATTATATGGAGGATAATTTAAATTCGATTACTCAACCTTTAATACGATTGGTTATAGAACAACCTAACGCGTTGATTTCTAAAACAGCCTTCGATCGACGTTTTCAAGTTTCCATTTTCGACATCCGTTTAGACATCAGTGTTATGAATTCAAGTGTTGAGAAGAACACACCTCAGCCGAGTGATTATAGATTGATCTTGTTAGAGACTAAACCAGGACAGACCAATCCCGCTACTGGTGTTCCCCCGGCACTGATTACCGTGAGATGTACTTCGGTAATGGGTAAAAGTAATGATTTAGATATTGTTGTAGCTCGTCCGATAAAATTACATTTCTCAGTTGACCGATGGCAACATTTGATGCTGATTCAAAAGAAACTGGTATACTGTGCTCAAAATGAAGAAACGATTTATATCAAAAGTGTTTCGAATGAAAATGAAGAACCAAGTTTAGAATTTTGTAACCCGCCAAGTGTTTTCAATAAGTTTAATGCAATAAAATTAAAAGCTGGAAGTTTGGGTCACATTACTTTTAATACAACACAGTTAATTTTAAATTTAAATACCATGGAAAACGATGAATTGAATTTGGCAGTGGCTGGCATGAAAGCAAAGTTAGCTATTTGCAATCGCCCGGAAAAAATTCAAAGTTCTGTGGGTTTCGAAAGCATTTCCTTAAACTTAGTAAATTCTAATTCAAGAATGATGCTTCTCCCCTTGGTCCTTTGATGTTTACACTACATTATACTGGGAATCTTGGCAACATCCTAATGATGATTTTTGATACAAATTAATGTCGATTCAGATTGTCTAATGGTGAATGTAGGGCCTGAACATATAAAAATTTTGCAAAAACTTAATAAGGAATACGAGGAAATATTCGAGGAATTGACAAGTGAAACTAAATATACGGTAGTTCAGGCAGAAGAAGATTTGTCACTTATTGAAACAGCTTACAGTGAATCCAGTGAAAATAGTAAGACAACTACTACACCTAATACACAACAAACTCAAGATCAGCATTATAAAGACGACTTGAGGTAATTGTAAATATAATTTATATAGCTTAGGAATTTTATTAATGAAACATATGTGTATTATTTAGAGCTGGTGCATTCCAATTTGTGGACGCCTCGCTAGGTGAAGAAATACCGCTCCCATATCAAGTTCTTTTCTGGTCTGGAATTCAAGGAACTGGAAGTATGTCTTGGAGATACCCTCAACCAAGGCTGTTGACGAAAGTTCATATTTATCCCGTACCATTTCAGGTGATCTAATATGTCCTACTAATAACATTTAGATATTGTTTCTCTAGAAAATTTTCCTTATTCGTCGCTGGTATCTCAAAGTTTGCTCGTTTGTCATAGTTACAAATAGTTCTTTTAAAACTCGTAATTTGGGGTACCACTATACATTGTTATAACTTATTTATTGTAATCAAACATCATTATGAGACGATTTAAAAGAATTAATTATATATTTTATTTAATTATTTAGGTTAATCCAGAAGATGTAACAAATCTGACTGTCTACTGCCAACTTGAATATTACTCCGAGGTACATGGCTCTTTTCTGCCCTACTGCCAATTTACATTGTCTGAAAGTAAAATGCTTCGATTAAACATGCCGACGCATATTCCAGATGCGTGCTCCGCTAGTGTTTGGCGAGTTTTAATGTCTTCCACAAATTTTGACTCTGAAACTAATTTCATGACCAAACATAAACGCCTAAGAGTCGAAAATTATAATGGAGAAAATCTAAATTTCGGACTCATTGTTAGCCCGAGAGCATTGGCCGCCTGCATGAGGATAGATTCTTTCTTCAGCGCGAGTTTGGTACCTAAAACCAAATGCGTTGTGAAAGTTTCATGTTTAAAAGTTAATTTATTCAACAATTTAGATGACAGTCAAGCTTTTGTGATGCCTGATGTTTTAAAATCGTATCAGATTAATACGATCGATGCTTATAATCAAGAGGTAATGACATTAACTTTGGATGCAACTAAAATGTATTTTTCAAATTGGACCAATGAATCCATGGTGATAAAATTAGATACTTCTATGAAATGTAGTGTGTTAGATTATGGTTTCCTCACAACACAGTCATTTCTAGAACCTACGGTATTGAATTTCAATTATTCGAAAGCTAATAACACAAGTACTAGCTTAATGTCCAAACCTATAGTATTGAAGTTTGGCCCATCTATCGCACATACATTGGCCATCACAGAGCAGATGTGGAAAGCTAATTTCACAAATGCTCAGGCGATGAAGCTAGAAAGTGCAAATGCGATTGAATTAATACCAATGACTAGATATGTAATATGCAATGATACTAGTTTTACTTTAAGTTTTGGCCAATCTGCTACTGATGAAAGTGTCATTCTTACACCACTGGCGTGTAACTATTATGCTTGGAGATCTCATAAAAAAAAACAATTACTAAGGATTTGTGTTCTTCAATATGATCAAATGTGGTCTGAGGCATTTGCTATTGAAAAATGTGGAAAGCTTTATATAAGATTTGATCTAAACCCACAAGTTATAATAATAGTAGACATTACTATGTTATCAGGCACTCAGAAAAAAATTACATTTAGGGGACAATTAGATGTTTATAATATGACAAAGGAAGTTTTTGAAATGAAAGTTTTTCCAGCAGGTTTTGATAAATCTAGATTGGGAGATATTCAAGCAAACAGCTTGCCAGGCCGAAGTAGAGGTCTAAGTTTAATATTGGAGTCAAATGATGATTTGTTCATGAGGTAAATTATATATTATATGATATTCTTGTACATTCTTTTTGTATTCTGTATTTCAAAATATATTATTAATTGTGCAACAGGTTAAGATTTCAAGGTTTAGATACATATTGGTCAGGAGACATTCCATTAAAAGAAAACTCCAAAAATTATCAGCCATGGTTAGTTAAAGGTGTGTATGAATGACCTTAAATGTTGAAATTTATTTCAAATTAACATATAAAATTTTATCTATTAGTTCCATTGCAAGATAAGGGTCAGTTTTTATGTGTTTGGTGTAAAATTCTAACACAAAATGATAATGTTTGTAGAAGAATTTTAGTTGCTTTGTGGCCCCTTTACATGATACGCTCCCATCTTCCCATGTCAACTAAGGTAAGTAATCAAAGTACAATTAATATAAGGAATTTACTAATATTTTATAATATGAGACAATTAAAAAAAATCTCGCAACTAATCATTAAATTATTTAATAATTGAAATTTTGTGTTGCAGCTCCAAATAGATACACCAGCTTTAGATGTTCATTTACAAACAATCGTTGAAGGCAGAGGACTTACAAAGCAGATTTATTGTCCAGGGACAATTGATCACTCACATCAGCTTACTTTCCAAGTTGAGTAAGTATATTTTATAAGAACACACTTTTTTATTTAGAGTAATATGGAAGCATCAGAAGAGTTTGATATTTGCACACCAATAATTTTATATAACACAAGCAGCATTTTCACATAACTAATATTTGACAACCTTTTTATGTAGAATATGATATGTAAGTATTCAGGATTTAGATAAAATAATAAAACACAATTAATTAGCATTTTTGATTATTTACCCCTGCATGTTAATACATAATTTTTGTTTCAGCATGGGTCTTCCAGCAAGCAACCCCTATGTACCCCTGAATTACAGTCTAATAGATCAAAGACAGTTATTTGAAATAAACAATTCTGATATTGATGAATCAATAAAAATTTTTGAAGAACAATTGGTGCTCAAAAGTCAGTGGCCCTTTATTGGTGATGATTTTCCTAACATTGACTGGATAGCTATGGATCAACCTCAGACAAATGTCTCGGTATAACTTTTATTTACACTGCTTATATACATTTAGAATATTGTTTTAGCTTATATATAATATATTCTGCAAACTTTGTGTATGGAATTTTATTTAATGAAGAAGATAAATTCTCTTGCTGCTGTTTGGTCTAATTTTATATTTAATTTTTATATCCTAAAAATTAAATTAGTCAATATTGTTCACTAATATATTAAAAAATTTAAGTTTTAAGCCTTAGTTAATATATTACATATGTATTTGTCTAATTATTAGTTGTTTTTAGGTGCGTTATCAATCAGCAGGACCAAGTTCTTGCTCATTACTACTGGAGTTATCTCCCTGGTGTATTATGTTAAATACAAGTGGTTTGCATTTGTCAATTCATACACCTCAACAAAATGAAACTTCACAACTACCTCATTATGGAGTCTTGACTCCTCCCAGATTAGAAGTCAGTCAATTTCGTCTATTTTAATAACTTTTTTGTATTTTTTTTATTAAATATAAATTTAATTTCAGAATACTTTTACAATACAAGCATATATTGATAATGGTTGGCATTCTTCAAACCCATTACAATTTTCTGGTTCATCAAATAATGCAAATACGAGTGGATTTTATATGCCAAAAATTACTGGACTCATACCACAGGAGGGGGAAATCAAGGCAATCATACCATGTGGTTACAAGGTATATATATATTTTTTCAAATAAATAGTTACTATAAAACAATTAGTTGTTATAATATTCTATAGGACAAGACATCATCTGTTACAAAAGTTTTTTTGCATACATAAATAGAAATGCATTAATTAACCAGTTTGTAAAATATTATTTGATAATTTTTAGGTCAAAACCATATTTATAACTATGCCAAATTTATAGTACCGAAATTTAAAGGATTAATCATTTTTTTTAATCTTGCTAAACACGTTATTCATATAACAAAGTTAAAGTTTGAATATTTTTTAATACTTTAACATGTGAAGATAAAATATTGAATGTTTTTGACAATTCTCTTTTGACAATGATATGTGAAATATTTGTATTGCATTGTGGTTTATGAAATAATTATATTAATTTTGTGCCTTTGTTTTAGATTTCCAATCTTAATATCACCAGTGAAATGAAACATGATATGCGGATATTACATATTTCATCAAGTCACATAATCTACAATGGCACAGATCAACCATTTAAACTTATAACTTTTGCTTTACGATTGGATTCAACCACTTCAAATCCAGCAGACAATCAGCGCTCCTCAACTTCATTTCATTCTTTTAGTTCTTCACATTTGAGTTTGTCAAACACAAATGCAATAACGACTCCAGATAATATTTCTGCATGCACTGAATATGTACTTCAGCCAGCCAAGCAGAATAAGTAAGACATATTAATCAAATATATTGAATATTTTTATTTTTAATTGCTCTACATATACAAGACGTTTATCACCATACACAATAAAAAAAATGTAGTAAATATATTTTATATTGCAGTAGCTTTGGCATGGTGATACATTTTATATGAGTTTTCTAGTTTGAAATCCTTCAGTTTAAGTTATAGTTATACATATCATATATTGTTTTAGAAATATGGGTGTTCCAATAACAGAGTGGCGCAATCTTTCCTATAATGCTCCAGTTAAGCATCGAAGTTCTTTCTTAAATACATTTAATAAACCAACACCAGCAAACAACAACATCAATGCAGCTGAATATGGATTTTTCATCTGTCTCTCAACTAGTATAGAAAATAAACAAGAGGATATGCTTAAAGAACGAGAATCCATGTTTTATGGAGCATCTGCACCATTAAGAGTAGATTGTGGAACTGGTGTTATGGCTTTTAGCGCAAGAAGAAGTTTAGCTGTTCCCTGTGATGGTTATTCGGTTAGTAATTTTGTCATTATATGAAAACTCGATGAACTCGATATTACAAAGATAAAACAAAGAAAACTACTACAGTACCCCGACATACAAGTTTAATTTTTTCCATAATCATGATTTGTATGTCCAATCTCTCATATTTTGAAGCACTTTTTTTTATATAAAACATTGAATTACATTTAAATGATTTAATTTTAAATCATTTGTAAATATTTTATAATGCTTTGAACAAAGAATCCAAAAAGTAATAAAAAACAAAAAAGGTTTTTAGAAAAACATTTCTTCATTTAATTACTGTTGACGTTTCGGAACTAGGTATGTTCCATCTTCAGGACATTTGTTAAGAAACATGATCTTGATAAGATTTAAGTAAACAATATGTTTAAGACAAGCAGAAGATGGTGGATTTTTTTTTATATAAAATGAATAAAATTGTGGAAAAATAATGTACAGAAATATTATAGTACATATAATCAAGATGAAAATGATAAAAATAAATGAGTGGATTATATAACAAAATATTAGAAATGTTAAAAAATTAGAAAGTTTTAGGAAGTTTTTAAAAAAAGTTACGTAAAAAACAGCATTAATTATCTGTATGATTGATTATACACTAACACTTTTTCACTAAAAAAAATTTTATCAAAGAAAAACAAACATTTTATAATTTTTTTTTCTGAATAAAATATTAGAAATAATTTAGTATCATGAAACAACCAAAATATTTCTATATTAGGAAAATCATTGTTACAATTAACAAATTTTTTATATTTTCATTTTTCCATTAACGTTTTTCTAGAAAACTTTTACTTACAATTAGTATCTTCTATCTCGAATTTTGCTCGTATATCGAACCAGCGAATCGCCCCTTTAGCGGCTCGTATCTCGAAACCTTTGTAAGTCAGGGCACCACTGTATTTTATGATGTATTTCTTCGATTTCAGATCCCTTTGCTTTTAACAACACATCAACACAAAGGTTGTGTCTACTTAACAATCCAATATGATCTCAATCCCCAATTGTTGATTGTCAATGAATCTTATTTGAAATTGTTATGTGCACAAGCCACAGCTGAAAGTGCTTCTGGTGAAGAGGAACCCATGCCAGTAATTGAAACACCAGAGTTGTGTATTTTTAACATTGTACCTGATTTGGGTTGTACTTACTACACTATGCCATCAATCAATCATAGTTTTCCAGATATTCAAGGAAATGCAGCTAGCGAAAACAACTTGACTTTGGCTTTAGCAAATGGTATGCAAATAAACTTTTTTTTAATATTTATTTTTGCCAAATATCTTAGTACAAAAATATTTTTTTGTTAAAATCTCATTTTGACATAACCATAATCCCAAATAGCTTATTATTTTTATCCAATTATTAATTTTTTTAAGTTAAAAGATTCGTTTTTTACTTGGTCATAATAATAGAAGACCTTATTTAATTGCTTTGGTGTAAAAGTATTCAAATTTGAATTAGCAATCCAAATTCAATTTGAACATATCAGTTTTATAACAGCAGGCTAGTTAATAAATAACACCTGTTATTGAAAAACTCTAAATAGATGATATAAGTATTTATATTTAGAAATAAAGTATTTTTAAATAGTATTATTTTACCAGACGGTGAACTGTTTTGGTGTCAACCCATACCTGTTTCTTCAAAAACAATGATGTGCGTGACATTGCCTGGTTTTGGAGATATTAAACTAACTATCACACCCTATTGCTATACTACACTACTGGTTATTCAAACTGTTAGTGAGGTGAGTTCAAGTATATTTTTTTAACAATGTTATGAAGAAAACCCATTGCTGATATTTTTCATATTTAGATTGAGATTAGTGCTCGCGAAATTCGTTCGCGTCTAAGCTGTTCAGGAAGTGATATAATGCTAGAAAATAAGATTGGTCCAAAAATCGTGTCTAAGACTCAACCAAATGTGAATTTAAATCAATTACCAACACAAAATCAAATTCAACCTCAACATGATGAAGAATGTAGTGGTTCGATTGCTACAAACTCAACTCAATCTGAGAATAGACTACCAGTGCTTGTTGTAAGTTATTTTGAATATCAGAAATTGAATAATAGAAAATACCTCTTCACTCTGCTGAATACATTTTACTATTGTATTTTCAAGCATAGCTCTTAGTGTGTTTTGATGTTAATTGAGTGTTTGAATTGGTAAATGGTTAGTTATTAAGGTAAAAAGTTCATTCTTTTAATTTGAAAATAATTAACTTAGTGTAAATATGTTTTTATTGGTTATCAATAGTTTCTGAAGAAGGGCACATACCATATCTCCAAAATATTGAACAAAATAATTGAAAAAAGATTTAAGTAAATATTTTTTTGAAGATTGAGGAAGCTTTTTGTTCAGAAATTTAAAAATCATAATTAATAATAATTAATCTGTTTTATTTGTTTTTAATGATATATTTATATTAATATACAATAATACATTTATCACAATATTTCTAGAAAAACTCATCACTTCCAAGATTGGTTTCAGCAGTAATTGAGAAATCAAGACCAACAATGCGTCCTTACGGTAAGTTACATACTATTCAATCATGTAACATCATTCACAAAGAATTGATCAATTTAGTACAATTTATAATTCATAAATTAAAATCTTTTTTTGTCAACACAGTATTACTATTTTGCAAACATAAAAATAATGTAGTTTTAAAGCACTTATGTGCAAATAGTGCAGTCTGGAATATATATATATATATATATATATATATATATATATATATATATATATATATATAGTATGTATATATATTTATAATATATAGTATGTATATAGTTTTGATTGTTAGTAGATAAACACCCTCTTTTGTCTATGAGGCAATTTGTCCTCTCCTTAAGTTTTTTGATTAAATTATTAGTTATGTGAAACGTATAATTAATAATTATTGATTTAATTATAATAATTCAAGTCTTTGTAAAGCCTTTTTTTAATTTGACAAATGGTCTGCAAATTTTTTCAAATATGTTTCAGTGTCAAAAAACAAGATATATATATATATATATATATATATATATATATATATATATATATATTTAGACACATGTATACATATGCATATATATAATTATGTACGTGCTAGTCATTGTGAATTTAATTTTTTCTCCCAACTTATAAATTTATTTTTTTTATTACCAGTTTACTTTGTCGTAGTTGCTTTGTAACATCATAAGTTTATTTCATTAATGTTAAGTATCTAGGATTAATTAACTTTAATTATGTAGCTTTACCCACAATTCAAGAAGCCAGCAACTCTCTTTTGGAACCCTACAATGACAATTTATCATCTTTAAATAAGAACTTTTCCGAAAGCACTTTCACGTTGCATCAATCTCCATCCAACAATTATGATGAAGATTTGGGACAATCCTCATCAACTACTTTTGGCCCAAATCAAGGATGTCAGAGATCAAGTAGCTTTTTTACTGATAAAACTTCAGTTGCAATCTTCTTGAAAAGCTTGACATTAGTTTTAATGACCGATGCTGATAATTGTGGAATGGATAAAACTGAACTATGTTCATTGAATTTGGATGAATTTGCAGTGACTGTTTCGCCTTGTCCTGAGGTATATATCTCTTTACAAAAATGATTTTAAATGATATTAAATATTTTCTACCAGTGTTTTCTATTTAAAAGTTTATATGAGTCTTACCGATGTTTGTTTTCAAGTATTCTCATACAACATTCTTATATAATCATGTTTTCAAATGGTTTATATCATACAGTAGACATTTTTTAATATTGTTAAATTAATTATGTAGGAACAACATACCTGTATTTATAAGTGTGTCCCAATGTTAATTGGGACACACTTGGGTTAATATAAACTTTATTTATTATTATATATTTTTTTTAACAGGAGGTGAATGTCCATATATCCATGAGCAATTTCCAAATTGACAATCAGCTTTTCAGTCGTGGAGATTTTGACTTTCCAGTGGTGATGTTGGGTCAGAAAAATGAACAGTTAATTGCTGCAAATTCAGATAAAATTTCCAGTAACTTTACAGCAAATAATTTCAACACAGACACATTAAATGAAAATGATTACATCTCTCAAAATACTAAGATTTATGATTTGATTGCAAAATCAAGACATAATAGTTTGATATCTGTTCGCTTGGATTTTGAAGTATTTGATAATGTGCATATTAATAATATTGGTAAGTTTACTTGAACTATTTTAATGTTTACATTTTTTAGTGAAATTATTGTATTGATTTATTTTCAGGCATAAAAGATGTAGCTATTAAAACTGATTACATATCATTGTATTTAGAAGACAGTTTTTTTACGGTGCTCTTAAATTATTTTGACAAATTAAATCCACAAAATTTAATTATACGTCGAGTGCAATACGATAATAACTTTATATCTTCAACACCTAGTGAAACTTCACAAATGCATTTGGACAAAACGCAGCAGTATTAATAAGTGGAGTTCACATACCTAAGAAAATTATTATGTCCTCTCAATTGCTGGGAAAACCTTTAAGGATGAACAAACTAACAATTAATGAAATTAATTTATTATTAAGTGTACATAGTTCCATTAGAATGTATATTGCATTAGATAAAAGTCCTTTGCATTTCGGTATTTTTGAAAAAAGGAATATATTGACAACACATTTTAAACTTGGACATTCCTTGGCCATGCATTATTTGTCAGGTGCTATTTTTGGCGCAGGTAAGTACAAGCTATATTAATATACTGTTTAGAATTCATAGAAAACTCCAAGCATGTTTTAATGTTGGTTTTCTTTGCTCTTTGTAGAAGTAACAAGTGAGAAATTTGATTGATATATTTTTTAATATTCATATTAATTAACATCCCGAAGAGGTGGGGCGGACCGTTACTTCATAATTAAATGTTTTTTTTTTGCTAAAATATTAAAGGCTTACTAAAAGCGTTTCAATTATAAAAAGCATTGAAATTTAGTATTTCACTGTGTTTTTAAGCAATTTTATATTATATGTTTCGGCGTCCACATGTGAATAAAATACATTTTTAGAACCCAAAATGGATGAAATAAAATGTGTAAAAAACAAATTGATATAAATTATACAATTACAATTTACAATTAGAATGAACATTACTCAATATATTAAAAAGCTCAATTCTTATTGAATAAGTTGATGCATATACACACTTTTTTTCATTAACATGCTGTATAAATATTTTGTTCCATATTGTACCTTTTTCAAGATACAATTAATTTGCAAAATTGTCAACTGAATTATATTTTTTACAATTATACTGTTGCTTTCTCTGCAGGATGGGTAGTAGGATCGCTTGAAATTTTGGGAAGCCCATCAGGACTTGCAAGAAGTGTTGGAACTGGTCTAAAAGATTTTGTGCTCCGCCCTTATGAAGGAATGCTACGAGGTCCTTGGGGATTTTTGGTTGGTGTTGCACAAGGTTCAACATCTCTGTTAAGACATGTTACTGCAGGTAAAATTAGACATTCAATTTTATTTAATGTAATATTCAAAATATTATTGCATCATTTAGTTCTACATGTTTTTTGTGCAGGTACAGTAAATTCCTTAAGTAAAATGGCTGCATCAGTTGCTCGAAATCTTGATAGGTTAACATTGGACACAGAGCATTTTCATAGGACTGAAGAATTGAGAAGAATAAGGCCTCAGGGATTGAGTCAAGGGCTTCTGCATGGCTTCACGGGGCTTGGAATAAGCATTTTAGGTACTCCACATTAATACAAAATACTACATTATTCAAAAAATATGTTTTTAAAGCATTTAATTCAGGATTCTTAAGGTTCTTATACTGACAGATGAGTTTATTTTTATCATCAGGTGCTGTTGGTGGAATAGCTCACCATCCATTAAATGCTCAAACTGCTGGAGGAGTAGTAGCTGGTGTAGGAGTAGGTCTTGTGGGTGCCGTTGCCAAGCCTCTCAGTGGAGCTGCTGAACTACTAGCCCTTGCTGGACAGGGGCTTTTACATGGCGCTGGCTGGAATATTTTGCCACAGGTATTTTTTGTTCATGTCATCAAAAAAATATTATAAATGGGGAATTGAATTGACAAAATGTATGAATATTTTGAGAATCCCAACTAAAGTTACTAAAATACAAAAACTTATTTTTAACTTACCGTAGGCTAGTTATAGTAATGGGTCGAAAATAGAAAATGAAAATTTTTGCATTTCTCCACATTTTGAAGGTTTCTGAACATTTTGGCATACTTCAGAAAAAAATGGATGTGTGTGTGTGTGTATGTATGTATGTATGGATACAAATTTTCGCCCACGTTTTCGGGCGTACGGATCAACCGATTTGAATGGTTTAAAAAACATTCGATTCCTATTGATAAGGAGATGTGCTGATTAGTTTTTGGCAAAGGCAGGTCCAGCAGTTACGGAGATAAGGAGCGAAGAGTGCAGAAAATAGAAATCGAGTTTTTGAGAGAACGGAGCATCCGATTTGAATGATCTAAAAAACATTCAATTAGTAATGATTGGGAGAAGGGGTTATTAGTTTTTTGCAAAGGCAGGCCCAGCCATTTTGGTGATACAGAGCTAAATGTACAAAAAATGGCAGTTTTTGAAAGAACTAAGCGTCCTATTCAATTGATTCAAAGAACTTTCTGCTTGTCTTAACAAAATAATTGATTTTGGAAAAAAAAATTTGTTCAAATTTTTTTTTTTTTTTTTTTAATTTTTTGTATATCAAAAATAATTCAGATTTTATTTTTAATTTTGACTATAGTTTTAATTTACTTTAAACAAATAATTTCAACTCTGCAATTCAGTTTATATAATTCTTATAAATATTAGGCAATGTTACAATATTTATAATAATCTATTTGAAAACATCCAATATTCCTCGAACATTTTGTTACGGTACGGGATGTTCCAGCAATTTGCCTTAAGGCACGATGCCACCCACCCCACTAGTTTAAATTTTGATTTTAATTTTAATTTTGGCTAAAGTTTTAACGATCACTTATATACACTAAATAAATAATTATGACTTTGGAATTCAGTTTATATAATTTTTATAAATATTTGGCAATGTTACAATATTTATAATAATCTATTTGAAAACATTTAATATTCCTCGAACATTTTGTTATGGTACGGGAAGTTCCAGCAGTTTGCCTTAAGGCACGATGCCTTACATAACTAGTTCTTATAATTTTTTGCCTGTTTTATGACCCTTTTGCTTATTTTCACCCGCCGACTGTTTGAAAAAACTGTCCAGGCAGTTTGCTTCTTCCTCCATTTTAGGATATTTCAGAATTTGATTAATCAAGTTTTATTGACCGACAAATGTGCTTGATATACCGTAGTGTATAATTTCTCGTATCTTGAATCTTAGTTTCACATCAAAACATAATACCGCTTTCTCGGTGGTTTATGTCTCAAAATAATCGTGTATTAAATTTCTCTTATAGACAAGTACTACTGTATTTGTTTTATTATTTTTGCAGGCACGGAATATTCCAATTGTGCAACAGTCTTTTTGTTCAGATAATGCAAACCTGAAATATCTTTGGAAGATTTTGCCAAATCTTTCTGGTCGTGATTATGAGCTGTTGTACGCAACTGAAGGAACTTGCGTTACATATAGTGGAGCCTATGAAGCAGTTGCATTGGTTCTTACTAAACAGGTAATAATAAAACAAGATATTAGCTATTTGTTCAAATCAGTTAATAATTTCCTTTCTCTTCCATTTAAAATTTGCATTTCTATTTTTAATATCATAATTTTAACTTTTATTTATAATAGTTAAAAAGCAGTAATTTATGGATTTTTTTATATATTCTAAAGGCACTAGTTATTTTTGATCTGGAGGAGGATGCATGTCAACGTGAAATTTCTCTGAATGAACTGCAAGGATCACCAGATATTGGGGACCCAACATTGATCTGTTTTAAAATTATAAATCAACACCGTCATAGCATCTGCCCTGATATTCAGAATGGAGCAACTCATAACAACTTGGATATACCACCAGTAACAAAAACTATTTTTTGCTTTATTATTAAATTAATATTACATGTATGAAATTATTATTTTCTTCTTCAGATGGATCCATCATGCAGAGCACGAGTAGCTCAATATATTCATTATACATCCAACACATTAGCAAATACTATGCATACAGTACCTCCTTTGCATCTGAATAATTCCAATATATCAGATACTTTGTCTGATGTAAGTGCTACGTCACAACTACAGACTCCTCCTAGTAGTTTAAATAACAACACAACAATTGATAGCGACGAATGTCATATCAGAACTAATAGAAGTGTGGTATTCTATGTGAGTCCACAACACAGAAATCATTTCATAGAAATGTTCACAATGGCCAAAAAGCAACTGGAAGGACATGGTTTTCCTGTTTTCTGAAACAGGTAAATATGCATAATTTGATAACATTACATAATTAATTTATTATTTAACATTATGTAATTAATTTACATTTATTAGTTGTTGATTCATAATTCTTTGCTGTATTTTAATTCCTATTAATTACTTTATTATGATCAATAATTATTTTTTTAGTAATTTTATATTATATATTAAATTTACAGGTATCTGAATTTGTGGCAACAAATTGTGGCGTGTATTATGTGTTACAAATTGCATTTGAAAAAAATTGTTGCTGTGTAATGTGTGTAAGCCGAAAGTTTTTCTATAAATGTACATTTTTATAAATAAGTAACTTTTGAAATGTATATTTACCATTTTATATTTAATAATGTTTTTATATATTTTCAAATCGGTCATTTTATTGGATTATTTCTTTGATGCATTATTTAATGAAGTAATTTTGTAAAATAAAGTGACAAATTCCGGCTGTGCAAAAATTTTGTAAACATTCTTTTATCTATGACTAATGTTTTTAATATATAGAAAATATAGTTATTTATATTGAAATATAATATATTTTAAAACTAAGTATGATTGTGAGCTTTAGTGATCGGAGGCCTCCAAAGTCCTTTATCCTATCCCAAAATTACTAACACATTTCATGTATATCAAATATATTGTTTAATCGGGTTGAGAAACAAATTGACTGTTACGTAGAATCTACTACTTTGATGTGTTATTGTGGTGCTTGAGTTGCTTTTCTGTTGCCTATCATTGAGCGGCAATAGGATCAACTTCTGTGTCGTTGGCAATACTCATTGATCAACTTCTACACAATGGTTAATTTCAATTAGCTATATAATGAGCGCGTCTGTTCTCCTAATACTTCGAAACGATTACAGACGCAGCTTACTATGAAGATTTTCGATCTTTCGATGTCGGCTCTTCCTATCATTGTGAAAGGATAGAAGTTTTGAATAAATTAATTTAAAAAATTATTATTAATAAACAATTTTTAAATAAATTAATGAGTATCATATAAAATAAAATAGAATATCTTTATGTAAATGGATTTTTATGTAATATTATAATTAAGTAAATATCAGTAATTATAGGGCTATTAATTATTGATTGGCAAATTATTTATGCTTATTTATTATTGTTTGGCAAAAGTGACCTGGAAAATTCAATAAATTACACATTCATGTTTAAAAAAAATACAAATTAAATTACTTAAATTACTTAAATATACCAATGGTATATTTATAATATAAATAACTACCAGCACACCCATGTTTTAAAAAAAGAATTAAATTAATTTACTTAAATATTTATTTATTAAATTATTTATTAAAAATTTATATAATTCTGAAATATTACAAATATACTCATATGTATAATTAGCAATATCACAATGTTTTAAATATATTTCTTAATGATAATAATATAATAATTCAATATATGATACACAGTAATTATATACATTTATATATCTAATTTCATTTTTACTGTACGGAGTTTTTAAGTTTAATAATATACAATTCAATATCTAAATTTATATATCCAATTATATAATTATACAAACTAAAGCAGCTAGTCCATCTTTAATGATGGAAAAAACAATATGTAAATCCGTGGATAGGAAAATGGATATATAAATGTATATATTGATATTCCTTCAAAATCGGGACCATAATTATATATTTTATGGCGTATAAAGCGATATATAAATGTATATATTGATATTCCTTGAAAATCTGGACCATAATTATATATTTAATAGCGTATAAAGCGATATATAAATGTATATATTGTTATTTCTCCTAAGCCAGGACCATCATTATATATAAAAGCGTATAAAGGAATCCAGTAAGATTCCTAGATTCATCGAGGCGATTGCATGCAGCGCCTCTATGCAAAATCGTTCCCAGTTCGTGAGGAACTAACGTCAAACGTTTGACAGTTCTTGCGTAAAAGGGAATCCAATAAGATTCCTATGTTCAATTTTTGTGCTCTATGTTCAATTTTTGTTGTAAATATTTTTAAAATATGTCAACTGTGGTCTGTGCTGCCTGGATCTTGGTTGAACAAGTTTCTTTATAATAATAATAAATTTACAAGTCATAAATTTAAATAGGTTTAAAGTTGAAGTGTGTTTATTGTGTAAATATGATTTAGATAAGTAATTCATATTGATCGTTCCTTGTAAATTTATCATACCATTGTGAATACTTTTCTTAGTTACTTATAATTGTAAAATTATAATACTTATTATTGTGAATATATTGATTATTACATTTATAAAACTTTTAATTGATATGTAAAAATGTTTGTGATATATTTGAAAATATATTTTGTACTTCGTATTTTTTTTCTCATTTCCAATATAAGAAATTATTTAGGTTTTCTTATTTTGAATTACGTATGCAAACCATATCTAGGAATAATGCCAGCGGTTGATTTATATACTGAACAAGTGCTGCCTCCTTCAGATCGCTAAAAATATTAAAATGAAGATAATGTCAAATGGCTTCAGATAGCGATCTATTTATGTTTACTTATCTATGGTTGTGATGGTGGTGTGTTGTATACCCTGATGACAGATGACAGGAGACCGGATGACACTTCAAGCAAGCGGAATGGCGGAAGGTTTCTTGGTCCCCAGAGCGTCATTGCACAATCCATTTTAATCTCAGCCATCGCGGGAAAAAGATCTTGGGAAGCCAGTAGACACTCCAGTTATAGGAAGCCAGTGGACAATCAAGTAGTACGTACGTGCATTTGCCACATGTTAGTCATTTTATTTTGCCATTGTGCCCTGTCGAAGTAAAAGGTTGTATGGCCGAGTATATATTAGTATTTTGCATTAGTCATTTTATGTAATGGGCTTGAGGATTATTTGTGGATTCGAAGCTTATGCAGGTGTTTACAAGATCCTTCCCAAGGGTGCTACAAATACCCATCACTACATAATGACAGATTTTGATTGAGGTTAGTAACAATTTGAGAAGAAAAATGACGCGTCAATTCTTATACGATCATAGATAAATAACGAGTGTTTTCATGCAGTTCGAGAAATTATTGAGAAAAGGACCATTGATACTGCTTTGATGCAGATGGTCGTTTTTCAATTTCATTAGTGAGTTGCTTTAATGGTGTATATTTTTTTTTATATTTGCCTATATCGCATCAATTGGAAATCTTATCTGAATCGCTAGCGAATACGACATTTATTTGGTTTAACTATCCTGGCTCGTGATGAACAAAAATAATTATGATAAATCAGATTCGAGCATAATAATGTGATTCTATTTTGAAATTGTTGAAGGATTTCAATTATTTTCAAAAATTCTTTAGAAAGATTCTGTAATCAATGCTTTTTATATGAAATATTTTGTAAGTAAATGAAGCTGATGCATTAATTTTAATTTAATGGTTTTGAAAACAAAGTACTTTTTACAATTGAATGTCACGGTAACAACGAAATGTATTCAACATATTAAAAAACATTTAGGTATTATAATTATCATTCATACATTTTAACATTTCTACAGCAGTTTGCTCTTTCAATTATAAAAGCCTTTGAATTTTTATATAATACCCTTCATGACAAGAAAATTCTGTGCTGATCCTGAATATTTACTTAAGCCATAGTATATATTATTGTTGACGGCTGCTACGATTTAAAGTTTCCTAGGCAAAATGCATTGAGGCTAAGTCATGTGAACACTGAAATAATTTTATTTCTCATGACAAGAATAACTGTAATAATTAGTCAAAGATACATGAAATATTTAATTTCAGATAAAGACATACAAAGAGTAATCCAAACTTATTATTACCTTTTATATTTCAGCTCTGCTATAAAATAGAAGCTGTCGACAATAATCAAGTTAATTATAAAAAATAAGTTAACTCTGGAATGAGAATCCTGTATTATCTTACTGCTGCAGTAGACTTCTTTGCTTCATTAACTATCGGTAAGATAACAAAACAAGCAATTCTTATTTCGTAAGATACAAGTCGAATTATTTAGGTTTTGAGAAACCTAGAGTATAATTATGCTTTTCAATACTTACTTATAAAATACTACAAGGACAAGATCAATACATAGTCTTTCCAGAAACATACTCCAAGCTTCAACTGTTAACTGCTATTGCTTACAGTTTCAAATAAAATATGTAAAACTAATCACATAATTATCATATCTCAAAATAATTAAATATTCAAAATATTTGTTCAAGATTCATTATATAGGCTCTGTATCGATACTTTTGTAACAAATATATACAATATATACATTTACAAATTGAATACCTATCTCCATTTGAAGATAACAAAAACAATTATTACCACAATTAAGGATGGCAACCTATAAGAGAAATATCTGCTGAGGGATCAAAAAGACTTCTATGGAAACTGAATTTATTAAACTGAATACGCGTAGAAACTTCAAGGTATGCAATTTATTTAATCATTTGCTTATTTATTCATCTTAATATTTTGATATCGTCATTAAGAGTTTATTCATATTTTTTTCATTTTATTTAAATTTTTTTTTATATATTTAATTTTCCATTATTACAATAATACTTATAAGTCACTCATAAATTAATTTAAGTCAATTATTTACACTATATCGCAAACATCATGTAACATGTTTTAAAATACCGCTTGCAAATAGGTCAATTTTTTTATTATTCATTTACTCATACACGAGTTTTAATCATTTATTTATTTATGCATACAAATGATATTTTTTACATGCTACATTTTTTTTACTTACCCATTTAATAATTATAAACTTTCTGTAGTTCCTCTACGATTATTTTGCATATCTGTTTTTGAGAAAACATCGATTTACGGCAAAAAATCTGTTCACACACACACACACAAACACACACACACACACACACACATACTTTTTCCAAACTTGGTCTCCTTCAGTTCAGAATGGCTTGAAACTTCGAGAAAACATAAAAATAGCGAATAGGATTTTTTGATGAAAACATAAACTTCTCCTTCGGGAAATTAAAAATCAAAAACTGTTCGAAAGATTAGTTGGGAATGACACTGATTAGTTTTAGGGAAAAATATACCGAACCATTTCCTTGTAATTAACTGTTGAAAAAAAAATTTAATCCAATTTTTATGGAACTTTTTTTAATGATATATATCATGGCCTTATAGAACTTACTGAAATATTACGGCTTTACGACAAGTAGTTTAATTTTAAAAATTCATCAAAGTTCGACGTTTGTTAAAATTAAAATTATACAATTTACTTGGTATAACGATAGAGTACTCGGTTTCGATGAACACACTAAATCATTAAATTCCTACAGAAACAGGTTCAATTATAAAAATTGTTGATTTTTAAAAATTTGTTTTTAGAAAATACTCCGAGTTAACAAGTTCGCTATATGTAATAAATCCACTCGGAATACTTTTAATCACTCATAAGTTAATTTATTTTTTATTAATTAAATCAATTATTAATACATTTCGGGAAGTTCATGTAACTTGCCTCAAAACAAAATATCAATACCAACTAGTTTAGTTTATTTTTTTCAATTTTGCGATTTTTTATATAAATTATTTATTTTTTTATTCATTTATCTATTTGTTTATTTTTACTTTTGTATATTTTTAATTTCAATTAAAAATTAAATAATTTAAATTAATTTTAATTTTATTGATAATTGTCTAATCGGACCAATTCGAATTTTTTTGCGCAGGATGTCATTTTTGAGCCGTGTCAAGTGGCTCCGCCGGCGACTTGATTGGTCCACGCGATTGTCAAGTTGTTCATTTGCGTGATGGGCAGCAAGAGGACCTCCAAGACCAAGGGAGAGGACCCAGGGAAGTACCCAATAATAATAAGTGTGTTATGAAAACGAGCAAAATTAAACAAATCATTGTCGGGTTCTCATTCATTTATTCGCGTTTGCTTCCATTGTATTTAAATTTTGTGCAATTTCTTTTAACAATTTGTGACATTGACAGTAGATTGTGAACGGCATACGTAGTTTGGCGCGATCGTATCGATTTTTTTTAAGTACTACTTTGTTAGCATATTATGTAATGTCATGATTCAGATAATTACTTGCATGCTAATATAGTAGTTTGGGGTAGTAGTAAGTTATGTAGGTATCATTCGTAGTTCTAGTTTTGACTGACACACTAACACAATAATCCACTATTAAACAAGAATGTAATAATCTGAATCATTCGACATTATGTATTACTTAATTATATAATTATTAAACTATTGTCAACTATAAACAACTGTTGCCGTTTGCAATCCATATAGCATTGCGCCAATTTATTTATATTCTGATATATAAACTTTGTTTCATCACTTTTAGGGCGTTCTTGGAGGCCATGATACAAAATTCAATTAAGGACAAAGTGTGAGCACTAAATGTTATCAATCCATGAAATAGTTTAAATCTGGAATTTATATATTTAATTTTAACCTGCAGATAACTTTACCTACTTCAGCAGTATGTGTTATTTATCAAACATTTTAAAAGATGTATTCTAATCTCTTGTTTTTTTTGTTCCAGATTAAATTCTCCGCTACTGAATCAACTGCCTCATTGGACCCAACCGACTCTAGTCGATCAAACAGTAAGCTCTTATCAAGTATCTATCAGGCAGTCTGTACCCTTTATCAAACATTTTAAAAGACGTGTTTTAATCTTCTGTTTTTTTTTTTTATTTCAGATTCAATTATCCACTTCTGAATCAACAGCCCTCATTGCGTGTGTATCCTTTATCAAATATTTTAAAAGACGTGTTCTTATCTTTTGTTGTTTTTTTTATTTCAGATTCAATTATTCACTTCTGAATCAACAGCCCTCATCTCCTTTAATCCATCAAACAGTAAGAACTTATCAAGTATCTATCAGGCAGTCTGTATCCTTTATCAAACATTTTAAAAGACGTGTTCTAATCTTTTGTTTTTTTTATTTCAGATTCAATTATCCACTTCTGAATCAGCAGCCCTCATCGCCTTTAATCCATCAAACAGTATCTATCAGGCAGTCTGTATCCTTTCAAAACATTTTAAAAGACGTGTTCTAATCTTTTTTTTTTTTTATTTCAGATTTAATTATCCACTTCTGAATCAACAGCCCTCATCGCCTTCAATCCATCAAACAGTATCTATGAGGCAATCTGTATCCTTTATCAAATATTTTAATAAGACGTGTTCTAATCTTTTGTTTTTTTTTATTTCAGATTCAATTATCCACTTCTGAATCAACAGCCCTCATTGCTTATAATCCATCAAACAGTAAGAACTTATCAAGTATCTATCAGGCAGTCTGTATCCTTTATCAAACATTTTAAAAGACGTGTTCCAATCTTTTGTTTTTTTTTTTATTTCAGATTCAATTATCCACTTCTGAATCAACAGCCCTCATCGCCTTCAATCCATCAAACAGTAAGCACATATCAAGCATCTATCAGACAGGCAGTATGTATCCTTTACCAAACATTTTCAAAGACGTGTTCTAATCTTTTTTTTTTTTTTGTTTATTTCAGATTCAATTCTCCTGCACCACTGAACCACCAGTCCTCATCGCCTTCAATCCATCAAACAGTAAGCACATATCAAGTATCTATCAGACAGGCAGTATGTATCCTTTACCAGACATTTTCAAAGACGTGTTCTAATCTTTTTTTTTTTTTTGTTATTTCAGATTCAATTCTCCTGCACCACTGAACCACCAGTCCTCATCGCCTTCAATCCATCAAACAGTAAGCACATATCAAGTATCTATCAGACAGGCAGTATGTATCCTTTACCAAACATTTTCAAAGACGTGTTCTAATCTTTTTTTGTTTATTTCAGATTCAATTCTCCTGCACCACTGAATCACCAGTCCTCATCGCCTTCAATCCATCAAACAGTAAGCACATATCAAGTATCTATCAGACAGGCAGTATGTATCCTTTACCAAACATTTCAAAGACGTGTTCTAATCTTTTTTTTTTTTTTTTGTTTATTTCAGATTCAATTCTCCTGCACCACTGAACCAGTCCTCATCGCCTTCAATCCATCAAACAGTAAGCACATATCAAGTATCTATCAGACAGGCAGTATGTATCCTTTACCAAACATTTTCAAAGACGTGTTCTAATCTTTTTTTTTTTTTTATTTCAGATTCAATTCTCCTGCACCACTGAATCACCAGTCCTCATCGCCTTCAATCCATCAAACAGTAAGCACATATCAAGTATCTATCAGACAGGCAGTATGTATCCTTTACCAAACATTTTCAAAGACGTGTTCTAATCTTTTTTTGTTTATTTCAGATTCAATTCTCCTGCACCACTGAATCACCAGTCCTCATCGCCTTCAATCCATCAAACAGTAAGCACATATCAAGTATCTATCAGACAGGCAGTATGTATCCTTTACCAAACATTTTCAAAGACTTTTTTTCAGTTTCAATTCTCCTGCACCACTGAACCACCAGTCCTCATCGCCTTCAATCCATCAAACAGTAAGCGCTTATCGAGTATCTATTAGACAGGTAGTATGTATCCTTTATCAAACATTTTCAAAGACGTGTTCTAATTTTTTGTTTTTTTTATTTCAGATTCAATTATCCACTTCTGAATCAATAGACTCTAATCAGACTGTAAACGCTCATGAACGATGAGTCGACAATCAACTGCTTGGGTTTTGAAACACTAATTCTTATAAATTTGCACAAGTGGTTCTTTTTGTAACCGTGTTTAGTCTTATGCATGTTCTTACCAGTAGTCTTACTAACTCATTAACAATACTAACATTTTAATAACGTAGTTTGATCAGTTACAATAAAAACCACTTGTTGCAGTTTACTTAGGAAGACGTAGTAAAACGGCTCAGAAGAAAACACTTGGTGAGTTACATTTTTATAATGTATTATAGTAGTCTGACTTATAACTAATTAAATGCTTTTGTTCACAGGGTAAGCAATGATCTCTTCAGGATTGCCCTCAACTTACACACGTGCCTGCATTGGACTTATCTTGCTGTCAGAAACCTTAACTCAATGGTGTTCCTAGAGAAGATACATGCTGCATTCAATCAAGGGTTATGATTTGGATACTTATAATATATTCATCTAATTATTAAATAAATACATAGTTTTATTAGTTCAAATTGTTGTTTGAATTTTCATTAATGCTTATATGTTACTTATAATATGTTACTTAAATTATATAAATATTTTGAATTATTTTGATGTCATAGGTGAAATAGAAGAATGTCATCCGTCAGTTGTGATAAATCAAGACAAAGTAAACTGATTGGCTCCATTGTGAAGATTGCGGATACAGCAGTTTAGACATTAAAACATTCGTTTGGCAAAGAAATATAAGTATTAAAATATTTTTATACTTGATATATATACTTAAGAATTATGTTAAATAATTTGTTTTATAG